ATACCTTCAAAAATCTAAGGTAGTTGACGAAGGGGTGAAGTTAGAAGGTATTTAAAAATATGCAAATATAAGGGATGTAGGGGTATGTAGTGAGTGGATAGAACATGATGCCTCTGTCAGAAGACCTGGCTTTTGAATTTTGCCTTGTCTATTTGTTGGCTGTGGGACCCCAGAAAATTGTGTAACTCTTCTGAGCCTTAGTTTGCTAAGAGAAAGATTGTACTCATAGAAGAGTGAGGTTTAAGTGAGATGATGGATATAAAACACTTAGCATAGTTCCTGGAACATAGTAGAGGCTCAGTAAATTGTGGCTGTTGCTGTTAATAACAGAATAATTAAGTTAGGATTGAATTTTCTATCTGGGAGGATATGTAGGACAACTGGCCCATCTGTGACTTGTGAAGGAAAATACTCTTCTAGGCTCTACTGTCCACCATCATTTAATAAAAGATATTTGACCATAAAGAGAATGAAGCCTCCTTATTGCCAGTTGACTAACTGGTAATTTCACAGTTCAGTTCAGTTCTAATGTATATTCTGTACTGTTGTAACAAATTGTAAAAGTGATTTTCATGACATTTAGTATTGTTAGTATTCTTTTAAATGTGTCAGGGGGTTGATGGGAGGTAGGATAATACAGAAATAAAAACAACAATAACAAAGCTAATGATTAAAAGCAGCAGCTATAGTTTACACAAAGCAATTCTGTAGCCATTTGCTCCTTAGAGCTGCTCTGTGAAGACATTTTATTGTCTTCCCGCATTAGAGTTGAGGAAACTGAGGCTCAGAGGAGTGAAGTGACTGCTCAGCTGGTGGCAGGGACAGTTGGGATTTCATAGTTGTCATGCTCCTCGAGGGATTTATGGATCAGGAGAGAGGACAGAGATGCTGGAACAATGATGATTAATTGTAGGCCACTCCATAGTCAAGTGCTCAGTGGAATAGTGGGAATTGTTGGTGCTGTTAGTAGTCCAAATGAAATCAGAAGAGCTGGGGTGATGGAACTGGTTTCTTTGCGTCTAAGGGCTGTTCATGAGGATGGGTGGGAATTCCAGAGCCAGAGAAGAGGATACCCTATGCCAAGGGACAGGTAAATGAGGCAAGGAGGGGAGTGTGGGCACATCTGTGAGTGCCAGTCTGAGTGGAACAGGAGGTAGCTGTGGGGAATAGTGTGGCAAATAGGGTTTGGACCCAGTATGAAGCCTTGTTCTTGGTGAGTGGCATCAAAGACTACATTTCTTTAGCTAATTTTAACTTTTAGTCTCTCTGGACTCATTTTCCTCACTCATAAAATAATACTTTGGCTGCATGTGGCTTGTACCTAAATAATTCCTTCAGTCCAATTCAGTAGGCTTTTTGAGTGCCTGTTAGGTGCCAGGCCTTGGGATACAAATATTATAAAGCTGCTCTTAGGGAGCCTTCAGAAGAGGTAACATACCCACCAAAGGTGTCCTGGAGCTGCAAAGCATTAGGCTCATAGTAGGAGGTGTTAGTAGAGTAATTATTATTCCGTCTCTTGCCTAGGCCTCATATGGACATTCTAACCTGGTGCTATTTGGTCGAACACATAGCTTGCCCATCTCAAACAGCAGCTGAGCCCACAGCCTGACATATGCACAGCCTGTGCATTTCTTGCATCCATCCTACTTTTTATTGTGGAAGGTGGCTCCTGAGTAGCATGTGTGGTTCAGAGAGAGAGCCAGCAGTGAGTGATATGAGAGGCTAAGAAGTGTGGAAGAAGAAAAAGTACTTACTTTTATTTCCTGATTTTCTCTTCTGAAACAAGTTTCAAAATGTTACTGTCTAAAAGTTTCAAAATGTTATTGTCTTAATCTCAACCCTCCACTGGAGTTGGATGTCTGCTGGAGTTAGATGTCTTAGATCGGGAGTTCCCTAGTCAGGACCATGGTGCTCTGCAAATGTTGGCACTTTTCCTTGTGGTGGCTGGAAAACATTTTTAGATAATCCTTTTCTAAGAATAAAGTTTGGATTCATTTAGATTAAAAGATCAGTGAGTAGTTAGTTAATTCTGACCAGAATATTTGGCGGTGGTGCAGGGGAGGACCATCTATTCTCTTCATAGTTCTACTTTAATAAACGTGTAAGAAGCAAATATTCTGTTGTGGGGTTTGTGTTTGTAGATTGGATGGTGTTGGACATAAACTGTTTCCTAGTGCCCTGTGAACACTAGGTGTTTGATGATAGCATGGCTGTTTGTACCAATAATGGTTAGTCCTCACTCAGATGCTGTGGTCCTTGGCAATTTGCAAAGTTCTTTCGATTCAGTCATTTTATTTAGTCTTTACAACCCTGTGAGAGACCCAGGAAGAGACCAGAAAAGAACTTATAATTATTAAGCACCTACTATATGTAGACTCCGTATATTGATCTTATGTAATCTACACAACATTTAATTATTTGAGTGCTATTGTCCCTGTATTGCTTGTAAGAAAGTTGAGAGGTTAAGAGACTTGTACAAGGTCAATACCAAAGTTAAGCCCAGAATCCACTCTTGATCCAGTGCTCATTCAATGCTGCTATGTTGCTTCTGATAAATCCCATGATTCAGGGTCATCAGAATCATCTGGAAGACTTGTTAAAACGTATTGCCAGGCTCCACTCTGAAGAGTTTCTGATTCAGTAGGTGCCGGCTGGGAACTAGCTTTCTACATTTCTAACAAGTTTTCAAGTGATGCTGATGCTGCTGGTCCAAGCACCATACTTTGAGAACTATTGCTGTAATTGAAACGTTCTGATTCTTTAATCTCTTTGTAATCTTTCTTCAAACATTAAATGTGGGTCTTCTTATGGACAGATGATAAGTACAATTATTTAGAATTCATTCATTTATTCAGTAGCTCTATACCGACTTTCTGTAGAACCAAACTAAGCATTTGCCAGAATGTTCAATCTAGTAAGGAAGCTAAGACAGGTACCTAAATCAGGTATGATAGAATGTAGTGGCATAAGATTGAACAGATAATTGAAGTAAGGGAATGGAATAGAGAAAGGTTCCCCTCAGTAGTAATAATAATAGTTAAAGGTTTTTGCTTTTTTTTGAAGTTCAGTATTGTTTTAATATGTGCCAGAGACTGAGGTAGGTACTTTATATACTGCAGTCCTTTAATCCTCACAACAATACTAAAGGTAAGGCACTGTTTTTATTTCCATTTTTCAGACAGGCAATGAGGATGTCACACAACTAGCAGTGAGGGAGCTCGGGGTGGAACCCAGCATTCTGCCCTAGAGCTGGTGTTCTGTTATTCAGTGGGTTAGGGTGAGGAAGATCATAGGAGGAAGGAAGGAAGAACTAGCGAGGACCCAGGAGGTGGTGGCCCCTGAGCAGAGCTTTGACAAATGAGTAGGATTTGAGTCATGTAGAAATGGAAAAGGAGGCTTGGTGGGCTCTCTCAGCAGAGACAGCAGCTTGAGCAAAGGCTGAATATTAAGGGGTGAGAGGGGATAATGGCATTGGTTCTATTTACCTAGCAAGGGGAATGATGGAAAGTGAAACTGACAAGGTAAGGTAAAGCCTGATTCTGGAGGGCTTCAAATGTTGGCCAAGTAATTTGGACTATTTCAT